TTGGCCTTCCAAGCATTCATCTAAAGCTCCCCGCCAAATCAGACTCTGAAATTTTCCGGATGGTTGGGTATTTGATTTGTTCAAGCCGGTAACACTGAGGGTCGGCTTGAGTTTTATTCGACTTGTTTGATTTTTCTAGACCATCTCTGCCATGAACGTAAATACTACCTTTTTCTTTCATTCCTCGAATCCTTGCAAAATAATTATTCAAAGAATGCACAAAGCTACACAGTAAAATAAACAGTTGGCTGCTAAAAGCTTAAAATTCTTCAAAGCAGAGAACATGAAATAATTATTTCTGAGTCGTCACCGTAATTATCCAGCCTCGTCGTGCTCGATTTGAAAAGGGTTGTGACCTAAAGCTGCCTCGGTCGCCTTAAAACACACAGAACTCCATCACGGTCACCATCGAGCCACGCCTATGCTTTGTCCGCTGAGAAGAATACTGCGTACATAAATAAGCATTTAGGGACACTGACCTAGTTCTTCCATATGGAGAATGTTTACTTCAAGTCTACTTAGATGTTCAGCAGTTCAAACACCCAGGTACTTTTCCACGCACTTTTTGGCACTTCTAAGCTGTTTATCTAATGCTTTTAAAGTAGTATCCAAAAGCGATTAATAAAATTAGCCGTGCTACATTGGTAAAAGTCAAGTGGATGCCAGGATTTTTAAAAGTTGCCTTAAATTTGAACAATATACTTCCAATTAAATTAATTGACTATGAAATTTAAAAAAATAAATAAGTAAAACCCCTGATGGAAAAAAAACAAATTTAGTAAAAACAGTTCTTTCATTCATTTGTCCCAGTTGTGAAAAAAACTCGGTGGCCTTGGGGGTATTCGAACCCACGCCAGCAATGGGATTAGATGAATTATTCAACACCTGTTATACCCCCTACTTCTTTCATTATTCAGCATCAGACATTCGCATTACTGTGTCCTGGCAGGCCAGCCTAAATGAAAATACCTGCAGTGTCATAATCGATGAGGGGGAGATTTGCAGGGTGTCAAAAAAGGACGAAGGACTATGATCTAGTTGAGGCCAGGAGTCAACGGAGGGATGTCAGTGCTGTGTTTTTATGTTTCATTGCTGTAAGGTGGTTTGGTGGAATGCGCGTAGGCATGGGTGGGGTTCAGCTTCGATAGCTAAAGCGTCTGCAGGGAGGGCCACAGTGACCACAAGATTGGGTTGCCTAACCGGATGGCCACCGCCTCCGCCAACACAAGTATCAACTGGCTTACAAATTGATGGTGTTTCGCCGACGCCCTATAGACTACTCAAAATGGGGCAATGTTACCATGCGCTGATCGCAGAAGACGCTCTTCCAAGCTGTTTAGTTACTGAAGTTGTTCTTCACACATCCCTATGCGCACCCAATCACTTCATATCACCGACGAACCACGAAAAAACCACACTGATATTTGTCGTCTGCCTCCTGGCCAAAAGTAGAGCATAATCCGCCCTCACTCTTCCTGTGTTGCGGACAAAGACAGCCCTCAAACCCGCATCAACCTTGACACTGCTACTCTTTCTCCCTTTGCTGTCCTAACGTGACATATTAGTGAGCATACCTGATGCTATATAAGGAAAGAAATGCGGTCGGTTATTTGGATTTTTCCAATGGTTTATTGGGTGTCATCGCAGAGGCGAGGATGGCTTATATGTCACACCGGCAGTAACCGCCAACAATAGAGGTGGTAATGTGCTTATTTGTAAGAAAATTAGATTAATGGGTTAAGGTTTTAGTAATGATTAGGGCTGCGCATCAGGGGTGCGTTACGACTGAGATACAGGACTATCTTCTCTTCGCAGAATTTATCGCAAGGCCTCCTGTGTTACCCGAGATGCTTCCCTATCCCTGTATCCTGAGAGAAGGAGCCAAATAAACTCATTCGAACAAACGCCATAATTTCTTTACGTCGGCTAATTACCCCTAAGACAAATAACAGCGCTGACTCCTATCTGCTTGTTGTTTCTGCAATATGAGGGTTGTTCATGTGTCATTTTATCTCAGGTATTTGCAAGGGCGATCACGAAATGGAAGATGCCTTTAGTCCTCGTGTTCTAGCAACCATCCGTTCACGGTGTTCCCAAATAGGCACTATTCGATTAAGCTTAGGAAATCTTTTGGGATATTTTGTGTTCTGACAGCTTTTGGAATCACAAAGTGTTCGGTGTCGGTGAGCCAATGCTTTTCCTCCTCCAAAATTGATCATAGAAAGCCTGGCAATTTCGAGGGCAAATGCAATCAAGCATGGTATGTTACCGACAAACACAGAGCACACCACTGTGGCCATTTCTGCCTCATTGGGCGTCATCAGGTGGTGGTAGCCCAACTCCAGTGTAGCAACGGAAATTGCCGCCACATCCGAGTTTCGAACTCGGCCAGAGGCGAACGCTCTAACCCTTGAGCCACGGGTCCGCCGTGTTGTCGATTTGTGATCGGGACTATATAGTAGTGGGTAACTGTACGCATGCCCATTTAGCAACAACTTTTAACATTCTCATCAGCGAAAATCAGACCGTCCTTTCCTTGAGTCCATCCACGTTGGTGCACCACGTCGGTTTTCGACTTAGGGTTAGAGGTTTAGGTCAGGTAAGATTTAACAATCTCCCTTTTCGATGTGTTTAAAATTCGATAATTGCTTACGATTTTTTGGACTGAATATGAACGTCGGATTTCGAAAGATACGTTTTAATGAGCAAAATTAACTAATTTCAGGGTAATCACAACTCTTTTTGCCGTAAAACAGGAATTATAACGAACCTACAAATCAATGATTTAGGGATTTAGCAAACTCAGGCCATTCCCTAGAAATGAATTCGTACACCTGCGCGTTCACATAAATCAGAAAATTTAAAAGTTGAAAGAGTTGGATTATGACTCGTCGTCCAACCATTGACTATATTCTGAATTTTATAGATAGTAAATGACAAATATCCTATCTTTTTCTCGCTCCCTTACGTATGTAGGAAGATGCCGAGCAGATGGAGCTTGAAATCGACAAGGACGATGAGTTCTTTGAGATGACCAGTAGACGCCCACCGTTTGGTAGCCGTGCGCCCCCAGAGAACCGTCCTGCCTACCCCAACTCCCATGGTTATGAGCTGACTGGAGAACAACTTCTACAAAAAGATTACAGAGTGATGAAGGAGACCAACCGGGGCGGTAAAACGGGTCAGGAAACCCAGAATCTGGGTGTGCCGCACGTCCAGCACTATGAGACAGAGAGTCATCTCAATGGCGGTGGTCTCCTTCGTCGTCCTTCAACACCCGGTCGAGCACGTGCAGGAATGGATTCTCAGTTGTACCAATCCACCAACTCTAAGAACTTGTAAGCCATGGTCGATTAAAATGTCACCGTTCGAAATGTTATCACAATGCACGCATGAACACATTGTGGCTGAGGGCTTCACTTCTAACTACTCCCTTCAACTAAACGTTTAATGATTCATCCTTCTAGTAACCACTGCCACTTGTTAAGGGCAAACTGATGAAAAGAGTCACCAGTTTTAAAAACGCTTATGTGTATGCATGAAATGGCAATGCCTTTGGGACGATACAGTGCGTATTGGGACTCGGGGTGGCATTTCAATTTCATTTTCGCAGCATCTGCAGTTATCAAGATTTTATGTACTGACAGGAAAGAACTCTAAATCCGCTTTGTACGTCTGCGTTTTTTGACATTTTACTATATTATTTAGTCCACCGTCCTATCCGTGATTGCACAAAAGCATGACTGAAGTGCCAGATTCTGCAACTGTTTCCTCTGCGAATTTATACTCATGCACAACTTACTATTCACTTAAACTGGCCCACGTTTGTTTCTTTTTTCTCCAGGAAATCTAAAAACACGCCGCCGGCTATTCCTGAGGACGGCTCGGCTGGAAATAACAATCCGCCAAAAAATGCAGGCAGGTGTTTAAACTTTGTTATTTTTGATTCTCATACAAGGAAAGGGGTAAGAAAGCCCGGTTCTAGTTTCATGTCTTCCGAAGTAATTACACTGGAACCTCGGCTAACGAGTTTAATCCGTTCCGGCACTGAGCTCGTCATGTGGAACGCTCGTCTTGCGAAATGTAGCCAATCAAACTGCACCAGTTTACTGATTGGCTACAGGTAATCGAGGACCCACGCACTGAGAGCAAGACTCACTGATGGACACAGGCACACACATACACACTGACAACTCGTCAACTGAGCGAAAGCCCGTCAAGCAAAACAAATCTTCCGCTAGTGGCTCGCTCGTTACCTGAAATGCTCGTAGATGGGGCTATTCATCACCCGAGGCCCCACTGTACGCGTAAGCCAAACTGGGAACACAAGTACGGTAATTGGGGTTGCTTAGACAAGTTTGGATGTTTGATCACTGTTGTCCATCCAGAGATGCCGTTTAGTAGAACATATCATAACTCCACTACCAATACGGACCTGGAGGGTAGAGAGTCGCGCAATTTAAGTTAAGTTGTCTAATGAGGCACTTTTCGCTGTTTACGTTTCT